TGTGGCTGATTACATAACTTCATAAATTTAAAGACTATTTCTTAACTTCAAAATGTGTTATTTATAAAGTTGGTAGTATCTACTAACTTTCCAACAATGATGACAGAAACTGACACACTTGTACGCCCTCACCTCCCTCTCCCTACTTTCGACATCTCCAGCCTTCTTGTGGCTACTTTTACACTGTAAAGATTTTTGATATTTACATCTGGTTTATAACCATAGCTAAACCTTGAATGATTAGCTCTAACTGGCCCTAAACACTAGAAACTAATTAAAACCAATATTATTTCACTACATGTGTGTTAAACAAAGGAAAGTTTCTCAAGTGTAAAGGCTAAGTATTTTCTCATTTTTTAATCCCCTAGATCTCAAGTCATATTTTAGTTTTGACTTCACCTTAAATGAAAGACTTGTTTTGTATTTCATAGCTCATTAAGTATTATCATTACGAAACAACTATTTCAGATCCACTAACTCTGGTTGGGGGCAAAAAGATGAAAATCATATGAAGCCCATAAAGAGAGAATAGTAGCCACTAAATGTGAAGGACATACAGTGCCATAAATTCTACAATCTCACACAAGTCATGTCTTTGCTTGGAATAAAATAGACATTAATAGACAACCCTAAAATCAACTGAAGTATTTAATGACAAGCAAGTATTTATATTTTAATTAAAGTCTAACCTGCTTTATAGTTACCTGTAAGTCCTTTTTATAAAAAACTAAGTTTAGCTTCTCAAATTTGATTTTTAATGTTCTTCCAAGGGTTAGTTTCTATATCTATATCATTAATGAGATACAAAATCTGCAAGTTAAAATGGAGCAAATGCTTCCCTGGCTCTGAAACCTAGCTTATAAATAGTTGCTTCTGGTTACAAGAGGACCTGGCTCAGATAGTAAAGGCCAAACCAACTGTATCATAAGAGTATGAAGATTTTCTCACTAAAAGAAAATCTGTAATAGCATCAAATCAAATATTGCATTTATATTAAAAAAACAAATTATCAATCATAAGTCTATTGTATATTTTTTCCAAGTCACATTGTTCAGTATACATGAGGCTTTAATTCAGAAATAATCCTGAAAGAGTGAATGATTAATGTTATCCTCTTTAGGTGTACAGAGTTCTTCTCAGAGTTTAAGAATATAATAAAGGACTAAATCGTAGGTCAAAAAGTCATATTGCCTCTCTTCAAGTCACCAAAAGATTATTCATTTAATCATTCACCAAATAGTTACTGCATGCCTACTATATGCCAAACACAGCTCTAAACAGAAGAAACAAAAGGTGGCCCAAACTCCCAATTTTCATTCTACTTGGGGAAGAGAGATAATAATTTTAAGAACAATGAAGTCAATTATTGACTCTAAGGTCTTGAAATAAGCACTATTTAAGATGCAAAGGAGCCCTGGCCAGTTTGGCTCAGTGGATAGAGTGTCGGTCTGCGGACTGAAGGGTTCCGGTTTGATTCCAATCAAGTGCATAAACCTCAGTTGGAGGCTGGATCTCTAGCTCAGGTCAGAGTATGGGAGAGAACCAATCGGTGTGTCTCACATCAGTGTTTCTCTCTCTGTCTCTCCACCTCCCTTCCACTCTCAAAAAAAAAAAAAAAAAATCAATGACAAGAATATCCTCTATTGAGGATAACCCCCCCCCCCCCCAAAAAAAAGAAGAAGAAAAGATACAAAGAAGAAGCAAGACATGGGTCCCTGCCCTCAAAGAATTTATAATCTGATAGGGGAGATGACATATACTTGGAAAAAATTTAGTAAAGTGTTAGTCAACTTTCATACATTCAGCTTTGGTAACTCATATACAGTGAAATCCCTAAGCCTATCTACTCCAACCGACCAATAGGCTTTTGGTGTTTCTGCCCAATAATACTGCCTATTAACTGAAAGCTCATTTTTAGTAAAGTCTCCATCTTTCTAAAACAGCATTATCCTAATACTGTATTACACTCATCCTTGTATTACCAAAAACTGTGTCTGTTTTTGTATCAACTTAATACTTTTACAAGGTAAGACTGCCCCCTGCTGGAACTTCTACACTCTGCACAACCTCTACCCTCACCTCACTCACTCACCTGTACTATTATGCTCTGGCCATAGTGGCCTCCTTGCTATTCCTGAACACAGAGTAAAAGCATCAAAGTACAGGAAAGAGTAGCCTCCATCTGAGGACCTTCTATCCCTGGATTTTCAGGGCTAAAGCTTCACCTTCAAGTCCTTGCTAAAATCCTACCCTTTCAATGACCACCCTAATTAAAATTGCAAACTGGTCCCCAGAACTCCTGATCGCCCACCATCCTGGCTTACCTTTTCCCCAAAGTACTTACCACTTGCTAACACACAGCATATGTTATGATTAATAAAACTTCAAATTTTCTATGCAGCACTAGTCTCTAGGACTAATCAACAACTCACTATCCCCTGAATTCCCAATACTCCCCAAGTATATACGTCACTTAAATGATCTGCTTGTATGCCCATTTCCTGTGGATTCTGATTCACACCCTCTAATACTTAGTGAGATACTCAACGTTTGTGAGATCAATGAAATGCCATGTCCTGAACATCAGAGATTAACTTTCTCTTAAAGCAGGCCATTCTATTGTAAAATCACACTCAGGTAATTAATTGGAGATGCCTCTTTTTAAGGCCACCTTAAGACATAGTAAAGAGGTTCATGCATGGTTCACAGCTCTTTTCCTACAAGGACAATAAAAAGATGCTTTCAGTGGTGCCATAAAAATAAGCATTACCTAATGCACTCAAAAATAAAATAAATCAGGCCAAATTAAGATTAGTTAAAAGGCTTTATGAAAAATGATATGTAAGTCTACTTTTGGTTAGATTTTTATTATCCTGTATTTTGGCAGAGAAACAATGTAGGCAACAGAAGTTTGTCATACTAATTTAAAATTTTAGTGAAGAGGGTGGTGGCTGGGTGAAGGAGGGTAAAGGAGGGTAACAGGACATCTGTAATAAAGATAACAATAAAGAAAAGCTTTAGGGAGTAATTTTAAAAATATATTATTTAAAAGCTGGTAGTGGCAATTTTTTAAAATGGTTGTAAATTCTTTGATCCACCTCCCATTTGAGATGGAGTGTGATTTCCCACGTCCTGCAATCTGGGCTGGCCTTAGTCACCTGCTCATAATAACAGATCAGAAAAGGTCACGGGGGTTGCAGCAGGTTCCTTGGAACACTTGCTTGCTGAAGCATCCTCTCTGGATACCCTAGACATCATGCTATGAAGAACCCATGCCACATGATGAGGACATGTGAAGGTGCTCTGGTCAAGAGCCTCAGCTGGGCCCAGCCTTCTAGTCACTCCAGCCCAGGTGACATGTGAGTGTGGAACCCTTCAAATGATCCCAGCCCCCAGCCATCTGAGTCTAACCCAGTGGCTTGAGTCTTCCAAGCTTAAGCCCCAGATATTGTGGAGCAAAGACAAGCCATCCCTGCTGTGTTCTGACCGAACTCCTGACCCGCAGAATCTGTGAGCGTAATAAGATGGCTGTTGTTTCATGCCACTAAGCTTGGGGGAGGGGGGTGGTTAGAGAGGCAATAAACTGGAAAACGAATGCTAACCCAAAGCCTATATCTAATTACCATATTTCATTTTCTCACCACCTAGATTTCATTATTTAGTACAGAAAAGTCACTTATCCTTATCCAGAGGTCAGCATCACAGATTCACGCTCTGGGGTTAGGGCAAATAAATTATCCAAAGTTAACTTTGATAGCTGTTAGCCGTCCATTTTTTTAGTTGTCTAAAGCTGTCTGCTGAATCAATAAGGTTGATGCACCTATGCGAAGTAGCTTGATAAGTGCTAGCTATATAGATAAATAGATATATCATTGTATCTCAGATCAAAGCACACTATTTCCATAACACCATGTGGAGAGGAGAGAAGATAACATTATGACTGTTAAGAGGGAGCTAAGCTCAAGGCTCCATGCTGTGTTCACAACAATAATGAAATGTTTTTTCTCCAGTAATCAATTCATGAAATTGAAAATGATCAACACTTCAAAAATCTATTTCCAAAAATCTCTCATTAAAGATAACAAGCATGTATCACAGATCAGAATTTAACGTAATATTAAGGTAAAATTCTGACTTAAGAAAACATGTTTAAATAAATCAAAATCAGACATATCACTTCTTTCTTGTTTTTCAATGCAAACCAAATTAATCTTACTATAGTGTTATTTAACTAAAAAGTCTAGAGCTCAAGGCTGAGAATGTGAGATCTTTTATGACAGTAAAAATGATTTTAGAAGCATTAAAAAACCAACATGCACAATTAATGTATGGCTCTTCAATTAAAATACTTTTAAAAGAGAAAAAACAAAACAAAAATCCACCTGCTCCCCTTTCATTGTAACTTTTCTGCAGTTAACACTGCCTCCTAGGGATGCAGAATAAAAGTGAACGATTGAAAGCAAACGCACACTTGATTGTTCATTTTAGTATTTTAAGTTAGGGCACCTACTCTACAAATTCCACCAAAGACAGAATAAACAAATTCAGGATGACCTATATTTGCTACTGTATGTTAAATTACAAACTCTTTTCAAGGCACCAAGTCAAGGACACTAATTCATGAAAACAGCAGCTTTTAAATACCATGGGAATGAAATATCACTATATAGTGAATTTTATTTTCACATAAAATTGTGCAATTCAAGAAAGATCCTAAAGACTTATTTCCTGTGATTAATAAGGGTAGGGAGGATTGTTAGATTAAAGTCTCACCACCGGTAGAGAATAAAATTCAAAAGGAAGCAAGCCAGACTAGTTCTCATGGCATGGGTATCAAACACTGAAGAGTGTCCATAGAAACCAAGGCCTCACACACCTGCCAGCTTGCTGATTAGGGTACCTGGCTCCTCATTTTAGGCAAAAAGCTCTAGAACAAACCTTTGTTTGGTTGCTAAATATTTACAGAGGCCAGGACATTTTCCAAGGAAAGAACTACTTACCAAGGGTGGTGCCATCCTTCCCCATGATGCACTTCATCGAGGTGATGATCTGCTGCACAACAGGCGGTGACAGTGACGTGGCATACACTGCACTATGAGAATGTGTTCGCAGATAGTCTATCAGCTCCTGGGGAGTTCACAGAAGCAAGGCATCAGAGGCAATGTTTGGGTTCACCGGCAATGTCACTGCCTACCTTCCAGGAGGAAGCAGGCTCCTCCTCCCTTCAGCAGATTGGAATAGGGACACTAATCTGAGAGGCAAGGACAACCAACTAGGTTGGACACATGGCAACATCCTTACACTTTGTTTTATTTTTTAAACCTGCCACACAGAATGAGAAAGTAGTTTTAAAGAAACCCTCTAAATTTGGACAGCGTATCACTTAATGATATAAATAGATCTACAATGCAGAATTCAACAAGAAAGTGTTTATATTACTTTTGGACAAGTGGTTTACTTGTAAGTATTAAAGAAAATATCATCTGCATCTTATCCCACATCTTCAAAGCCCTCCGTACACTCCTAAATCAGAGAAAAACAATTCTCTAAATCAATTTTAAAGGCATTCAATATCCTCCACATACATATTTATAAAATTATATGTGGCAGAAATTCCCTGGGTCTTTCACAGAACACTAAAGCCTGCAATAAAGAATAAAGAAAAACCCTGTATATACGATACAAGATTTTCAAAGAAATCAGTTGTCTATCCCCAATCACTGATACCTTCTAACTTCACTAAGTCTTTAAACATTCACACAAAAAAGCTAATGTACCAGAATCAAGAAGACACATAATGTGGCTTTTTAATAGTGTATCACTTCAAAATTATGCAAAATTATATAAAACCCACAATAACATAAATATAATGTACCTAAAATACCTCCCAGAGTATTATTTTCTGTCCTTTGATTTAGCAATAAATCTTACCAAAAGGCAATCAACTCTCCAAAGTAGTCTGGTCCCATTATCAAAACTCAAGGTAAAAAATCTACCAAACTGGACTAAAACCACTGATAATAGATTTTCTCTAAAGGGCAATCAATTATTAAGAGAAAAATCCATGCTTTAAGATTTCCAAAGTATTAAAGAGGAATTAAAGAAATTTACAATTACCAACTATATGCTACAAATACTTAACATACACTGTTTTTTCCCTAAAACTGCAGTTTTTAAACAGCATTTTTTTGTTTGTTTTTTTGTTATTCCTTACCCAAGGATATTTGTCCATTGATTTTTAAAGAGAGTGGAAGGGAAGGGGGAGAGACAGAGAGAGAAAATCTGATTTGAGAGACACATCGATTGGTTGCTGCCCAAAGGAGCTCCGATCATGCGGGGGATCAAGCCTGCAACCTAGGTACGTGCCCTTGACGGGAATCAAACCTGGGACCCTTCAGTCTGCAGGCCAACACTATATCCACTGAGCCAAACTGGCTAGGGCAAAGTAACAGTTTTAATGAGATATAATTCACATATGATAGAATTCACTTTTTCAATGTGTACAATTCGGTGTTTTTTAGTATATTCACAGAACTATACAACTTTCATCACTACCTAATTTTAGAACATTTTCATTACCTTAAAAAAACCTCACACCCATTAGCAGTCACTTTCCACTTCCCCCAGCTCCTCAACCCCTGGCAACCACCAATTTACTTTCTATCTCTATGATCTGCCTATTCTGGATGAAGCATATCTACACTAATAAAAGACAAACATGCAAACTGTACCTTTGCTATGCCTTAAGCCACGCCCACCAGCCAATCAGAGCAACTATATGCAAATTAACCCAACCAAGATGGTGGCCAGCAGCCACGGAGCTGGAGCAAGCAGGAGGCTTGGTTGCCCCAATGATGGAGGAAGCCAACTTCCTGTCTGCCGCGGCGGGCTCTGAGCTCCACTCAAAGCAACAAAGTTTCAATTATAGAAGATAAATAAACCCCAGATACTTGCTTTCAGCGGACATGGCCATGGAGCTGGAGCGAGCAGGAGGCTTTCCCTCCCGCCAGCCATGGCCATCTTTGAGCTCCTCTCAAGGCTACAAAGTTTCAATTATAGAAGGTAAATAAATTCCAGAATAAAAAAAAAGAAAAAAAGAAAAAAAGGGGAGGCTGGGAGCTTCCGTAAGAATGACTGGGAATCCGGGAATGACTGGTCACTATGACACACACTGACCACCAGGGGGCAGACGCTCAATGCAGGAGCTGCCCCCTGGTGGTCAGTGCGCTCCCACAGGGGGGAGCTCTGCTCAGCCACAATCCAGGCTGCCAGCTGCCAGTACGGCAGTGGTGGTGGAAGCCTCTCCCACCTCCTCAGCAGCGCTAAGGATGTCCGACTGCAGCTTAGGCCTGCTCCCCACTGGCAAATGGACATCCCTGAGGGCTCCCGGGCTGCCAGAGGGATGTCTGACTGCCAGTTTAGGCCCAAACATTTTTACCATGCCACACGCCTCAAATGGCTTAGAGGTCAGTATATGATTTTTAAATTGAAAAACCAAAAACACAAAACCCACAAAACAAAATAAAAAACAAAGCCTTACAATACACCAGAGCTAACAAAATAATCATTTTTCTTCCTGTCTTTATGTTCACCAGAGATGCATTTAAGTCTAAGGGCAAAGAACTTGGCCTTTTATTCCCATCAGCTCCCATGACAACCCTACTACTTTAAAACTGAGCACAACTCAAACCCAGCAAAAGAGTGTGGCGAACAGGCAGCACCACTGTGTGTTCTTTCATACAAGAGGGTATTCTATATCTCAAACCAGCATGTAGTTTAGAACGAAGCTCAAAGAAGAAAACAACAAACAATGAACAGAACCAGCCTTCAATGCCTCAGTCACTCACCAGGCAGCTGAAGTGTGAACCCGCTGGCACCATGAGCCTAAGCCACAAATTCAGGATCTCACATCCCAGTTTGGAAGCTATTAGACATGACTTACCAAACCTAGTAGCCAGTGCCTTTATTCTTCACTGCTCAATAATCACAGCCCATTTACCTTCTTCCCTCCAATGTATCCTCCAGAAGCACCAAAGCTCTTGGTAAATGTTCCCATCATAACGTCCACATCCTCAGGATCCAGGCCAAAGTAATCTACCACACCTCGTCCCGCAGGGCCCAGAGCCCCAATGCTGTGGGCTTCATCAAGATACAGGTACGCCTTGTATTTCTTCTTAAGGGCAATCACCTCAGGAAGGCGAACAATGGATCCCTCCATGCTGGCAAAACAGAGTAAACAATACATACACTGAGACTTCTTAACTCTCAAAATTAGGAGCTGGCCACTTTATTAATTTCTGAATTTTACTGCTTTTTGAAATAGTCTAACAACTCTGCCTGTGGTTTTAAACTGGCAAAATCAAATGATGCCATGGCTAGACTGGATCTTTTAAAACAAGTACTAGAACACAATCTTTTTAAAAATATATTATTTTATTGATTTTTTACAGAGAGGAAGGGAGAAGGATAGAGAGTTAGAAACATCGATGAGAGAGGAACATCGATCAGCTGCCTCCTGCACACCCCCCACCGGGGATGTGCCTGCAACCAAGGTACATGCCCTTGACCGGAATCGAACCCAGGACCATGCAGTCCACAGGCCGATGCTCTATCCACTGAGCCAAACAGGTCAGGGCAAATCTTAATTCACTACAGTGGAATAAAAGTCATAGCAGATTCTTCTAAAGCTTGTAATTATAGGCAATGTTAGACTCTGCATCACATAGGTATGCAATTGAAATTCTACAGAAAGAATTAAAAAACATTAGGAGGTAAGAAAATAAGTGGAAGGGCTGCAAATAGATAAAATAAAAATTTCTTAACATTAAATGGTGTGTAACTTGTTTTGACATATTAGAAAACATATTTCAATTCTTGACCTATATACAAATTCCCTCTATAAACAGAAAAATAAAGGATCCAAATAGAAGGGAGATTTAAGGACCATGTAGCATAATGGAAAGATTAAAAGCCAGACAAAAAGACTTTTGTCCTAGAGCTAACTCTGCTTCCAGGTACTTTAACAAGTCAAAAACACTTTCTCCTTAGTTTCCAGAGGGGTATAATTAGTGTTCCCTTGAAAATGAAGTGAGGCTGAAAAATTCTAAGACTTCATGGAACCAAATCAGAAAAATTAGAATCATAAAGCAGGATTACCTATATATTCCCTCCACAAGGATTAGAATCTTCTTCCAGGGCCTTCGTGTCCGAGGCTGACCACAGACAATGGCATCTTTCAATAGCTTCTCTAGGCTCTGCATGTCTATAGCACACACAAAAAGATGTCAGCATAAAGTACTTTCCTCTTTCCTAACTTTATTCCAGAAATGCAAATAAACATTTCTTATTTAGGAAGACTGTCTCAGACAGCAAAGGACGGTAACAAAGTCAGAACAGGGCAGAAAAAGATGGAGCAAAATGAGTGAGCTACTGCTATCTTGAATTAAAATCTCATCTGAAATGTAACAAATGTTCAAAGTCACAGAAACTCAACAAATGACTGTGGCACAGTTGAGTCAGGTGGTTAGCAGGCTTATGAAATTACCAATGTTTCATGTTAAATACCTGGCCATTCAGTTAGCTTTTTTTGTATTTATAAAATCAACTGTATCTTAGTGAGTCATTCAGAAATAATGCATAAAGAAGACTGAGCAAGAGTATGGAAACCACTATACAGTGGGGCCTTGACTTACAAGTTTAATTTGTTCCGAGACTGAACTCGTTAAGGAGCTCGTTAACTCAAATTACTCTATCAACTCAATGCAAAAAATCGGCTGAGAGACAGCTGGTATCTCAAAAAACTCGTTAGTCGGGACACTGGTAAGTCAAGGCCCCACTGTAAATACATACACCTCCTAAAAGTCAAATATGGGGAAAAACTTCAAAGTACATGCCCATTTCCTTTCACAGAAGATGTTCTTCATAAATGCTTGTTGAATAACTTTATCTTAGTAGTGGGTTAAAAATACAGTAGTCTGGTTAGTGCTATAGAATAAATTCCTAAATGCATGAATCTCCGTGTTAAGCAAGCATGGCAATCAGTTGAGATTGTTTCTGTTTGATTTGATCTGCTATCTGTACACAACCAAGTTCTTGTGGCTCTGTTGGTTCTTAATATGGTTAGCAGGTCTAGGAAACAACGTGGCTAGTACTACCACTAATGAAAGTCATAATTTTCCTGTTAAAGATAAACACTTTGAAGACCATTTTTGCTGCCACTATCGACTTCTTATTTAAATTTTTTTGCCCTGAAACACTGCCCTTAAGAAACCCTGCTCAAAACAAACAAACAAAATAACAACAACAACAACAAAAAAAAAACACCTCAGGAAAACTGTAACATGAAGTCTGCAGTATATTTAACAAGGGTGGGAGGCAAGCAATCATAAAATCTGACTTTATACACTTTATTGCTCCCCACTGAAGGAGGGTGTTACAAAATTACATGATTTTGCTCTTTTCATAGAAAGGACTTTGGTAGAAAAGAGAAATAATAAAAACACCACAAACACAGATAAGATGGCCGTAGATTGTGATTGTGTTAACACCTTCAGTTATTCGTAAGAGCACAATCTGTCTGCTACCTGACCCAGAGACAGGAGATGCTGTCTCGGAAGTGTTGAAGCGGCTAGTCCTACTGCAGAGGGCAGCATCTGGCAATCAGCAAGAGCCAGTAAAAATGTAGTCATTGTTTTAGTTTCCTCTGTTTACATACAGAAAAGAGGAGAAAAATAAATACTGATTCAAAATTTTAGATGAAAGGAAATATCTGTAGAATGCTTAACCATATTATCAACTTAGGGAGAAAAAATCTAGTATCTCTCTTATACTTCACAAATCCCATGTAAGAATAAAGATGTAAATAAAAAACACCACAAAACTACCAGAAGAAAATAAGAGAATAACCCTATTATCTTAAAATATGGAAGGTATTAACATAAAATCCAAGTCACAAGATAATAAATGTGACAACATAAGCATTTTAATAAGTTTGCACAGCAAGAAACTAAAAACAAAGTTAAAAGTAACATAAAAAATAATGCAGTATCAAAGAAAATAGGAAGGGCTCTTATAATCAGTAAAAAAGAGAAAACATTTGAAAATGGCCAATTTACAAAGAAATTCAAACACAATACTGTATAAAAAGTTGCTTGACACCTAATAATGAAAGAAATAAAATTAACATGTTGATTATTAGAGAAGGGAAGTTTTAAAATGTTTCATAATGGCCTAAGTCGGCTTGTGAGTCACTGTCATGTTGTTGAGTAAAAGTCTGTACAATGCTTGGAGGCAATTTGGAAAAGTACAAAAATATGTGTGCCCTTTCAACCAGGCATTCTAAGACTGCTAGGAATTCATCCCAAAGCACTAATCACACCATTGAGCAAAAATGTGGGTAACAGGTAGTACTGTTTCTACTAGAAAATTTTAGAAACAATCTCGATGTCCAAACTGAGAGACAGTCTGAATAAGGGCACTTCCAGACACTGCCTGCCACCCTGACATTAGGGGAGGAGGAGAGTCACATGTATTGCCAAAGTTCCCAATGTGTTGTAAGGAAAGAGCAGGTTCCACAGTGGTGTTTAATAAGTCCCATTTACATAAAACAAAATGCTATTTGCATCATTCTTATTGTAAAACATTTTAGACAAGACAAAGACAAAAGGCAGGAAGTTATTACCATTTCTAACCTTCCAACCAGGAGCACAGATCTACTATTTTGGTGTATATTCTTCTAGACTTGTTTGTACATGTACTCACTTTGGTAAAAGATGGTATTAAAAATACAGTTGGTAATCTTTCTTCTCTACATGTGAATGTTTTAACTACAAAAGTTATGCATTTTTATTGCAAATAAATATTTTAATAATACACAACACATTTTCATTTAGGAAGAAGGTTTTGGCTTTCAAAGGGAGGAGGGAGAGAGATTTGTTGTTCCACTTATTTACGCATTCATTGGTTGATTCTTGTATGTGCTTGACCGGAGAATCAAACCCACAACCTTGGTGTATAGAGACAATGCTCTAACCAACTGAGCTATCCAGCCAGAGTTCAGAAAAACATTTTAAATGTTGCTATTTCATCTTCACTTATATTTTCTATTATTAATATAACCACTGCCACTAATCCAAGGAATACTAAACACTAAGACCTCCACAACAAACTCACTGTTGTGTTTGAAGACTCGAATGGTTGCTCCTGAAAGTCGGGCTCCCAGAACCAGTGATGCATGGTTCAGTTCATCACTCAGAATCAAGCAACCCTGCAAAACCACAAGCACAGGAAGTAAGAAGCTGGGGTGGAGGCAGGTGAGGTTTCATTACACAAAAGATCAAATGCTAAAATCATTAATAATTATAGCCTATTAAGGAAAGCTTGTATAACAGCAAACTATCAATTTCAGTAAGAAAAAAGTATAGTTGTTTTTCTCCCCCCAAAAAATTAATTTACAAGTAGATGCAAAATTCTAGCCTTTTAACTTCTTCATTCCTGAGATGGACATAAATACCCAGATATATAGCAATAGGTTTTTTATTTATACTTAAAATCTGAAATACCAGATAGTCTTCATAGAGTTTCAATTTTGTTGGTTTGATGTCATTTCATGAGTTTGGTATGATGTACTATTTTACTCACAGAAAAAGTGTGTGGAGGAGAAGGCAGCTGAGGGAGTAATGCTTATGGAAACAGTGCATTCTTCCTCCCACTCCTAACCATCCAGAGTTCAATAACAATCCCACTTATTAATCTAACTAGTGGTCCGATGCAGAAAATTCAAGCAAGCGTAGGCCCTCGCAGCCCCAGCTGTGTCCTGAAGGTCCTCCTGACAGTCATTCTGCTGTTTGGCCTAATTAGCACATTAGCTCTTTATTATATAGGACTAGAGGCCCAGTGTTTGTGCACTGGCGGGGGAGGAGGGGTGTCCCTCAGCCCCACTTGTGCCCTCTCATAGTCTGGGACCCTTCGGGAGATAACCACCTGCTGGCTTAGGCCTGCTCCCTGGGTAGATGAGGGCAGGCCTGATCCCTCGGTGCCTGCCCCGCCTCCCCAGGTTGCGCACACGGCAGGGTCGATCCGGGGGTTGGGGCGCCGCCCCAGGTCGGGTCACACACGGGATGCCTGGGCGGGCCAGCCAATTGCTGCTGCCCCACCCAGCCGCCCCGGGTTGGGTCGCACATGGGATGCCTGGCAGATTGCTGCTGCACCACCTGGCCACCCCAGGTTGGGTCGCACACGGACGCCTGCCACCCCGGGTCGCAGATAGCAGGCCCGGATGGCGGCAGGGCAGGCGGGATAGCGCTGTCACGCCCCACCGCCCCGGGTCGCCAATAGCAGGCCCAGATGGCGGCGGGGCAGGCGGGATGGCACTGTCCCACCCTGCCTGCAGTATGCAAATTAGCTGCTGTCTTTGTTGGTGGTTAATTTGCATATCGCGCTGATTAGCCAATGGGAGGCCTAGCAAAGGTACGGTCAATTACCATGTTTGTATATTATTAGATAGGATTCCCAAAATCACACAGAGTGTAGGCTTAGTTTTGCCCTTAAAATCTCTGAACAAGTTTTTCTGTAAATCCATGTAAACATGGGTTTCTGTTAAGGCAACAAGAAACATCTGAAGCTCTCAGAATTTTTATTTCTTCCCCAGTTCTTACTCTTCCACATCTCCTGCAGGTTCCAACCTATAAAGTCTGAACTCAGAAACAGGTTTTTCTCTGTCAACAATGGCCTTCAAAATATCCGAATAGATGAAAAAAGGAAGGAGCAGAAAGTGTCAGCGTGCTCCCAGAATAAAAGGAAGAGTATTCCTGGATGGATACTTATGAACTTGCAATAGCAATTGTCCACCTGAAATTTTTACTGTATGTAAAGTTTTCATTATTAAGATTTTAAAAAGCTCTCTCATTAAAAATGTGTAGATTAAAAATGAAGAGAAGTGGAGTTGGAAATACCCATATGGACTAATAGTTTTTAAAATCTATATCTAGCCGAAAGACATATGAAAACATGCTCAAAGTCACTAATTATACGAGAAATGCAAATCAAAACGACAATGTGATATCATCTCACACCTGTCAGAATGGCTATCATCAACAAATCAACAAACAACAAGTGTTGGAGAGGATGCGGAGAAAAAGGAACCCTTCTGCACTGTTGGTGGGAATGCAGACTGGTGCAGCCCCTGTGGAGAACAGTATGGAGTTTCCTCAAAAAACTAAAAATGGAACTCCCATTTGACCCAGTGATCCCACTTCTAGGACTATATCCCAAGAACCAGAAACACCAATCAGAAAGGATATATGCACCCCTATGTTCATAGCAGCACAATTCGCCATAGCTAAGATCTGGAAACAGCCTAAGTGCCCATCAGCAGATGAGTGGATTAGAAAACTGTGGTACATCTACACAATGGAATACTATGCTGCTGTAAAAAAGAAGGAACTCTTGCCTTTTGCAACAGCGTGGATGGAACTGGAGAGCATTATGCTAAGTGAAATAAGCCAGTCAGAGAAAGATAAATACCACATGATCTCAGTCATTTGTGAATTATAGAGAACAACATAAACCAGAGGTGGGCAAACTTTTTGACTCGAGGGCCACCATGGGTTCTTAAACTGGACCGGAGGGCCTGAACGAAAGCATGGATGGAAGGT